GAATGAAGAGAAGGAGACAGAGGGAAAGAGGGCAGGGCAGGGGGCAGAGCTATTTCCTTCCCACAGCCAGATTTCTGGCTCTCACCCTGGGGACCCCGGGGACTGGGGTGGGGGTGCAGAGCCATCTCGTGTGGGCACGATGCTGGTCAGAGTAACCTCATCAGGGCTCCGGCCACCCTTCTCCTTCCTGCTAATTGTCCTCTGCGTATCCAAGGACCACTCCTGTGGGCACAGTGCTTAGGGTCAGGCTGGGCTGCTGTGGTGGCAGCCGTCATCCCAAGCCCTAGCCTCCCTCCTGCGGTCCAGGCTGAGCCCACCGCCCCTCCCAGCCCCAGCCAGCCCGGAACGCGGACCTCAAACTGCGGCCAGTTCATGGCCATGCCTGGCCCGTGGATGCTTCGCCACCAGCGCAGATCCTCTTCGTCACTGGCTGCCTCGATGCCCTGATGCAGGTCTCGGTGGAGTTCGTGGAACCTGTGGCCCAAGGCACAACCTCAACCTGGGGAGCCCTGGGCCCCAGTACCGGCCCCCCCAAACTCATTCCGCCTGGCCAGAGCCCGGGGGAGATGGAGCAGACCCAGCATTACCCCTAGGCCTCCATGCCCAGCTCGCAGGCCATACCTCTCGCTGCTGGAGAGGTCGAGATGCTGGTGTAGGGTAAGCAGCATATCCTTGAAGAAGAGGAGCCGCTGGCGCTCGGCCGCCTGGCAGCTCTCGAAGGCCTGCTCCATGTCTTCCATGTAGCGCGGGGTGTAGCGATGCAGTTCCGCCAACGTCTGCTCGTAGTGGGTTTTCATCTGGGTGGGAGAGGAGGGGCCTGGTGAGGACCAGACCTTCTTCCACTCAGGACTCCACTAGTATTTACAGAGCGCCAGCGGGCGGGGGGTGCCGCGGGGAGACCCCGGGCCAGGCACCTGCGGCAATCAGGCCGCAGCCCCAGCCCTCCAAGACCCCAGCAGCCAAACAGGGGAGGGGACATTGGGCACAGCCACTTTCAGAGTCTGGTGAGCGAGGATGGGGGGGTGAGATGAGGTCAACCTCGAGGAACGGGGAGGGAGAAATCAGGACAGGCTTCCTGGAGGAGGTAGAAACTGAGCAGCAGATAGAGCTGGAGGACAGGGCGCTCTGGTAGAGCAGGCAACGTGAGAGCTTGTGGGGGGGGAGGGGAGGAGACACAGCGGAAGGAAAGGAGCTGGACGGTCCCCTCAACTGCTAAGATGCTCCCAACGCCTGAAACTGAACCGTTTCTTGCCCTGGGTAAAGCATCAGCTTTTCTCTGGCTCCTCTTTTAAGTGATGATCTGGACAGCGGGTGGCCCACGCGCAGGGGAGCGTTGAGTTCGGGGCCTGGGAGAGGCGTGCCCCGCGCCGGTACCTTCTCGGCCTCCTTGGTGCAGCGGTCCACCCGCTCCTGCAGCTTGCGCCGCTGCTCTTGGGAGACGGCGCTGTCCGCCTTTGCGTGGCTCTCCCGAGTCTGGGCTGTCTTCTCCTCCTTCCGTGCTGCATGGTAGCTCTTCTTGGAAGCCTCAACCTGGCACGCACGGGGACAAATCCGGAGACCCTGCAATGCCAAGCCCCAGCCCCCTCCAGCCCCGGGGCGGATTCGGGAAGGGACCCATCCCTCCCAGGCTCACCTCCTTCAGCCTCTTGAGCCAGGGCTTCTGGGCCTTGCGGAAGCCATCCTCCGCAGCCCGGCTCTCGCGGAAGCCACCCAGCACAGGCCGGTGGAAGGCCCCCCGCTGCCAGGCGCGCACCCGCTCGCTGTCCTGCCCCTGCAGCTTCTCCCGCACCTCCAGGTGCAGCGCGCTCAGCCTCTCGGCTGCCGTGAAGAAGGCGTGCCAGGCCTTCTCCAGCGTGCCGTACTGGGGGCCTGCAGGGAAGGGCTGGGCTGGGACCCGGCCAGGGACGCCGCCAGAAACGAGCCCACCCCCCTCACCCCAGGGGCCTGCCCTGGGTGCCAGGCCCGCAGCGGGGGATGCAAAGGTGAACAACAAAGAGGTCAGCGGCTACTTAGGGATATACGCGATCTCACCGAATCCTTATCCACCACCATGAAAACAGAGTCACGATCAACATTTAACAGGTGAAAAACAGTAGCCCAGGAAAGTGAACTAATCACCCAAAGCATTACAGCCACAAGTTAACTGCCCAAAACATTGCAGCTGAGGTTCAAACCCAACTCTGCGGCATCAACCACTACACTCTATTGCCTCAGAGGGAAGAACAAGCTTGTTAGGATGGAAAGATCCCTAGCTCCCGAGTCAGAAGGCCTAGATTCGAGGTTCAGCTCTTCCTAGCTGTATGACTTCAGGCAAGTTGCCTAGCCTCTCTGAATTTCTGGATTCTCCTCTAGAAAATGGGTAGAACAGGACCATCTCCACCACAGGGCTGTTAGAAACATCAAAGTAACTCACGACCATACTTTGCAAACTCTTAACAGCTAGATTATTCTTAACAACTGTTAAGAATAACCAGGAAGCTCTTCCCTCTTCAAAGGGAAGGCATACGCCGAATCCTCAAACTTCTCGTAAGAGGTACAAAAAAGAAGCTGCCTCGCCTGATCTCCCCACCCTCAGCGGCCTCTGCTCCCAGCAAGGCCCGAGCGCTGGCTCACCCTTTTCCACGGTGCCCCTCCACTTGCGGGCCCAATCAGCCAGCTGCTGGGCGTAGGCCTTCTCAATGCGGGCTCGTTCCTGGAAGCAGCTGACCAGGTCCCCGCAGAGTCGATGCCCGTCCTCCACCCGCTGCACGGTCCGCCTATAGTTGCCAGCCTGGGGCAGACAGGAGAAAGGCGGTGTCACCGGGGAGAAGCCCCCTCCAGGGCTGGGGCTGACAGCTCAGCTCCTCCGGTGGACATGTGGCTGGGCCCGCGGGGGGGTGGGGAGTGCATTTCAGTGCCACCACCAAACCTAGGACCCAGCTGCTCACCTCCCAGAAACTGCCCTCCAGGGCCTCCCCTCCAGCGTCTTCCTCTGGAGCCATGGTGTCCCCGCAGCACGGAATGGTGGCGGATGGGGGCTGTGGAGGGCAGAGGGGTAAGCAGGGAAGCCAGATAATACACTGTTGGGGAGAGAAAAAGATCCTCTCCTATCCCTGGACTTTGTCCCCATGGCTATCCCTACCATCCAAGGAACTGTCAGAGCTAGGAGGTGGGGGTCTGGAAGGTCCCAGGAGGGGCTGGGATAGGAGAAAGGATGGCCATTGGGCCCTGAGTCTGCCCACCCCCTCCCCTGCGCAGCCTCATTCCACCTACCTGGGGCCTAGAGACCCTGGGTCAGGGACCTGGATGTCCAACTCTCAAAGCTGCCACTGTGATTCTGCCTTGAAGCTAACAAAAGCAAGGCAGGGGGTGAGGGCAGGGACCTAGAACGTCCAGGGCGGTGCCCGGCTCCCCCGATATAGCAACTGCTGTCAGAAGCGCCAGATTCCAGCCAGGAGAATGCCAGGCAGGTCACACGATCCAACTGGGGATTAGGTGGCAGGCGGGGGTGGGTGGTGGGCATAGGGCCCCGCTGCCCGCCTTCCCCACTACAGATGAGAGCGGAGGATGCCTGCCCACGCCAGGCCCTGTTACCTTCCCCTGAACAACAAGACGACCCTTTACCAGACCAGGCCAAGTCGGAGGGCGCCCGACCACACTCCAGTGACTCCCTTTGCCCGCAAGAGCAGACTGGGAGCCAGGAAGCCTGAGTCTGATCTTGGCCAAGAAGCTGAACAAGTGCATTTTACTGCCCTGGTGAGGTAGAAATTCTGCCTCCTGGTCTTCCGTGCCAGGGCTGGTCTCAGACTCACAGGCAATGAGCCTGTGCAGCGCGCTCAGCCTCTCGGCTGCCGTGAGGAAGGCGTGCCAGGCCTTCTCCAGCGTGCCGTACTGGGGGCCTGCAGGGAAGGGCTGGGCTGGGACCCGGCCAGGGACGCCGCCAGAAACGAGCCCACCCCCCTCACCCCAGGGGCCTGCCTGTCAGTCACAAGGGACATTCATCCTCTTCCACAGCATCCACTGAGGTCCCACAAGCCTCCCTGGGTAATGAACAACTCAGCCCCGCCCTCAAAAAGCCCAGAGTCTGGGGCAGCATGGGGATGCCGAGAGGCCATCAGCCATTCTAAGAGTGTGCACCAGAACCGTAGAGGAGGGCAAGGTGGATTCCAACCCCAGAGCCACCACCCCAGAGGCTAGAGGACACAGTGGCACGCGGCCACTCCCCTCCTGCCTCTTGGCAGCGGCTCAGCTGTCCCCAGCACTGACTTAAGCCCCTAGAAGGAAACCGCTTCCTCCTCTGAGCAAGCCCAAGGGACACCGCCAGGCCCAGGGGGACAGAGTAGGTGCCCACTGCCCCCAAAGCAGGGCTCTATCACACTGCTCCCCTCCAAACTGACAAGCCACTATCCATCCTTCAAAACTCCAGTCTCCCGGACCCCATTGCTCTACCCCCATTCACGCAGCCCCTTGTGAGCCCTCCGTCAGGCTATATATTATATATTCCATCGGATCGTCACTGACAGGAGAGGATCTGTCCCCAGTCATTGACAGAGGGGGTCCAATGTGCGGATTTCTTTGGGCACTGGAGCTGGTAGCTGAATGAAGAAACGGGAAAAGGACCAGGAAACCTGCTGGCTACAGCAGCTGTGAGAAAGCTTGGCCTAGGTGGGATCCAGCCCTAAGCTAACAGGAGAGAGAGCTGAGGCGTGCAGCCGTGAGGCCTGGGTACAGAGCAGGAGAGGGACAGAGTGGCTGGCCCACCGGGGTCCTCAGCACTTCCCCTTGCTTCTTCTTGAGCCTGCCCCGTTCACCCAGAAAGGACTTGCCAACCAGATGGAGAGAAACAGAGCCGCAGCTGTAAATCACAGGGCCTTCGGAGCAGTCCCAGTCAGGCATCCAGGGGCCTGGGCCCCCTGCCTGCTCCAGCCTCCAGGCTCCCGGGAGACCTGCCCCCCACCCGTTCCCTCTCTCTGGCCCCAGAACAGAGCAAGCTGTGTGTGCAGGGCTGGCACTGCTCCCTCCCGCCTCCCAGAGCAAACACAAGCCCGAGTCCCAGGCACAGCCAGGCCCCACAGCCCTGGCTGCATCTAGCTATGGGGGTGGGCCCTGCGTGCCATGAGGGGCACCCCGAGCCTCCTGACTTCAGCAGAGACCCAGACTGGTCCCCAGAACACACTCGGCCACAGGCAAGAGCTCTGAAGGCAGATAATGAATGCTTCCCAGCCCAGGTAGCCACGACCTACTGGGCCGGCAGAAGTCTGCGAGGGCGCTTGGCACGGTCTCCTCAGAGCCGCCGGGGCCAAGGTAGGAAGTGCTGAGACTCGGGGAAGAACCCACTCTCCCTACCTAAGGCAGGTAGGTCCCCCCACCCCCACCCCCGCGCAGACCAGCCCCCACCTTCCCAGAAGCTGGGGGCAGGCCCCCGGGAGGGAGCACGGCCGTCCTGCCCCGCCCGTCCTCCTGAGTCACAGGCTGCGCCCAGGGCCTCCTGCAGCAGCGCCTCCCGGGCGGCCGCAGCCCTAGGATGTGGAGGCACAGTGGTGGGCGGCCCACTGGTCCAGCGAGGGGTGGGTGCCTAGGCTAGAGTGGCTGGAACCAGCAGCTAGAGCCGCCCCGGAGGGTGGGGGAAGGGGTGGCGCAGGGAAAGGGGAGGAGGCAGGGCCAGGGAGGGGCATAACAAAGGGGCACTTTTGGAAACCCGACCTGCCGCCCGAGGTGCCTGCTCCCTGATGACGCACTCCAAACCCGGAGCCTCTACACCAACCCTCGGAGCCCAGTGGCTGCCCGTGTATATGGCCTCAGCCCTTATGGACGGCGCCCTTCGACCGGCCCGCGTGCCGGCCCGGAGCTGCACCACTCGGAGCCGGTGGAGCCCACGCGGAGCGGCCGGGCCGGGCCCAGCCATGGAGGCTCTGGGACTTCTTTGCCAAACTTGTTGAACTTGGTCTCGGCGGGGGTGGGGCCAGCAGATCACCGCTGAGGGGAGGGGGCGCACCCTGCCTGGGCCAGCCCGGCCGTGGACTCCAGAAGGTGACCCGGGGCAGCGGCCCAGGAATTAGGGCTCTTTGCAAAGAGCGAGGGGTCCCCGGGGCGTTTGGGGGCCTTTGAGAAGCCCTAGGACATGGTGTGGCCCTCCAGCCGCGATGCCGCCCTCTCCTCCGCCGGCCTGGGAAATCGCGGGGTGCGCCGCGCCGCAGATGAGACACCCCCTCGGCTCGGCGGCGCTCTTCCCGTCCTCGCGCAGAGTGGGGGCTCCCAGGGCGGGAGTCGGTCCCATTGCAAACTTCAGGAGCCGGAGGAGAGGGCGGGATCGATTCGCCGCTCCCGCCGCCGCCTCCCCGCGGTTCCCGCCGGGGCAGCACTCACCGTGTCCTTCCTGGGCGTCTGGGCGGGTGGGGGTCCGGCCACGCTCCGGCCGGAGTCCTGCCGCTCCCGGGCCGGGGCCACCGCCTCCCGGAGCGCGC